AAGTTACCGTGAAGAACAAATATCCAATCCCTCTCATTGCCGACCTTTTTGATCAACTTGGGAATACAAGATATTTCTCAAAATTGGATCTCCGATCAAGCTACTACCAAGTGAGAATAGCAGAAGGAGATGAACCAAAGACCACTTGTGTGACAAGATATGGATCATTCGAATTTTTGGTGATGTCTTTCGGGCTAACCAATGCTCCTGCTACATTTTGCACTTTGATGAACAAACTACTCCAGCCATACTTGAACCAGTTTGTTGTTGTCTACTTGGATGACATAGTGGTGTATAGCAACACACTGCATGATCATCTGAAACACCTCTGAGAAGCATTCAAAGTTCTTAGAGAAAAAAAGTTATACATCAAGAAAGAAAAGCGTTCCTTTGCCAAACAAGAAGTAGCGTTCTTGGGGCATAAGATAAAGGAGGGAAAACTCATGATGGAGAGAAGCAAGGTCAAAGCCATCCAAGGTCTAAAGCTTTCAAGCTTTGTAACCTCTCTTTACTGGTGAAGCATTTCTCTTCTCCACTCTTCTCCTTATTCTGTTTTCAAGAGGGTGTTTTGTGCTTTAAATTTGTTGGTTGGGAAAAAGTAGGCTGATTTAGTGCTAAAGGAGAGCACCACGACTGACTCGAGGAAAGTTAGTCCGTGACACCGCTCTGATCCTTGGGTATGACTCAAAGGATAGATTTGGATTAAACACATGGCTAACCCTTTTTTGAGATAGATGTGCGCAACACTAAGCTCTTAATGTTCATCCGAAAAAAGAAATTATTAGGTGCATAATATGCATATTAAATGTCTAAAAGATGCATATAGATGGGTATTATGTACCTCAAGCACACACTCTTATATACACCAAATTATTTAGGGGCATTTACATACATACCACACAATTTTTATGTATTTACATATCTAACACCCAAACTTTAATATTTACATGCATAACACCAAAATCTTTAATATAATATCAAAAATACCACTATCAAAGTGTTATAAATGCAACTATGAAAGTTCACCTGTTAGATATGTAAATACCAACGTTTAAAAAAGTGCTCAAGGCATCCGTCTCGAGGCACGCCTCAATTCAAGGCACTGCTTCGGCAACTTAGAGCATGATCATCGTCGGTGCAGGAGAGGCTTACACCTACAAGCGGTAGCACCTCAAGTCGGCTAAGGCGCAACTCAAATTAAAATTAGGCATAAATAACTCTAACCTTCACGCACTAGCCATAACGTCATTCAGATAGCTTTTTATCTTCCTCCTCTTCCTTCAACAATCATCGCAATGCATTAGTGAAAGTTCTGATGGATGAAGATCTCTTTTACACCACCAGACGACGCATCTACACACCAAGATGGGGCAACTTAAAGAAGGAGCTGATCAAAGAATGTCATGACTCTTTATGGGCAGAACACCCAGGTATGAAGTGAACTCTTGCACTACTAAAAACAAATTACTACTGGTCAGGGATGAAGGATGGGATAGAAGAATATGTTCGCATTTGTCTTGTATGTCAACAAGACAAAATTGTTCTTCAACAACCAGGTGGGTTGTTAGAACCGCTACCTATTCCTCAAAGACCATGGGAGAGCGTCTCTATGGACTTCATCTCTAGCTTGCCGAAATCAGGCGGATTTGGGAGCATCTTAGTTGTTGTGGACAGATTTAGCAAGTATGCAACATTCATTGCTGCATCCACCGATTGTACTGCCGAAGAAGCTGCACGACTCTTTCTATGCAATGTGGTAAAGTTATGGAGTATACCACAAAGCATTATCAGCGATCGAGATCCTCGCTTCACCGGAAGATTTTGGACCGAGTTATTCAAAATGTTGGGGTCTTTCCACAAGCTTTCATCCGCAGAGTGATGGACAAACTGAGAGGGTCAATGCCCTCTTAGAGCTATATCTGCGACACTATGTGAGTGCCAATCAACAAAATTGGGCCAAGTTGCTAGATGTGTCTCAGGTGTCTTTTAATCTTCAAATAAATGAATCTACTAACAAGAGTCCTTCGAAATAATCATGGGACAACAACCTATGACTCCCCCTTCCCTTACAACCTACTACGAAGGGAAAAGTCTGCCCGCCTTCAAGTTTGTCAAATCTTGGAATGAGCAAAGGGAAATAGCTCGAGCTACATTACACAAGGCCGCGAGGAAGATGAAGAAGTGGGCAGACAAGAAACGAAAGCATATTAAGTTCAGAGAGGGAGATCTAGTCCTTATGAAATTACTACCCCAGCAATTCAAAATATTTCGGAAGGTGCATAAGGGTTTGATTCGAAGATACGAAGGCCCTTTTGAGGTAA